CGTTCGCAGCACGTGTCACAAATAAAGCAAGAGTAAGATGGAGAGAATCATGGTGGAAATATATAAGGTGAAATAATACGCATAATGGCGGTAGCAATACTAGGAAATAGCCTATCAAATATGTCCGAATATGCACTTTCCTACCTATAATAGCGCAGGTTATACTGGAATAGCCAATCAAATATGTCCGAATATGCACTTTCCTACTGCGCATCTATCAGTTTGCTTCGCCTTATATATTTCCACCATGAAGAGAACCAGAGAGAATCAAGGGAGAGTGGAACCTGAGACCTGAAGGTGCCTTTTCATGCAACGAATTTTTCGCTGCGACTGATTTTTAGCGAATAGCGAATAATTCGTCGCGAATAGTTTGTGAACGTCGCATTTCGTCGCATTTGCGTGGTTATTGATGGTTACACACCGTTTGAAGGATGCAATCTTATCCAAAAGATATTGGGAAATAAGGAAAATCGTTTCGTAATATCTACTAAAGTACGTATTTATACTTGGTTATATGATTTAAAGTGTTTTTAAATACTGTATATTTAATAAATATATAGTAAATTATTAATTATCTATAAAATTTTTTTTTATCTTTTTAGATGCAGGATCATTCAGTTATGAACTGGATTATGTTATATAATCAACAAATGCAGTGTTCATTTATTTATACACAAGTATATTATTACCATCAAATAAATGTATGAAAATCCATTTATATATCTATAATCATTTATATATCCATTTCTATATCTTATAATATATTGTATAACATATCTTTACTTAGTGCATATGAGGTAAAGTAAGAGTAAGAAATTGACCAATCACAGTCGATTATTCTTCTCACATTCGATTGGTCAATTTCTTACTCTTACTTCTTACTCCGTGTATTGTAGACGGGCCTTTAGAGAAAAGAGTCGCCAAAAATTTCGTTTGTATACTACGAATAAAATTGAAGCCAATGAAACCGAGCAGTATTTTAGTTGATCTCTTTCTAATAGCGTTTTCGGCCCG